ACCCAACATCAGGTCAATGTCCAACCTAAAATCAACCAAATATCAACGTCTAAAGATGTTACAGCTTGATGTTGTGTGGATTTTACCACTATGACATCTATAAGACATTGGATTTTGGTTGCCATACCTGACGATTAAATATAGTGTTGGTTTAAGATGTTGGCTCGACGTTTGATTTTGGCTTTCCAATACTAGATAAAGTCAACCAAATAACAACGTCATTACTGGATGTGCTTAAATGCTTGATAGACATCGAATTTTGATGACTTGACGTCATAATCTAAATCTAAATCTAGCCTAATATTAGTGTCTTATGACATTGTGTGCCTGCTATGCTGGATGAGGTCAAGTTGGATTTTGTTCTTCATTTTATTTTTTTTTATTTTTTACACAGAGGATTTTGTGAATCTCTTATATCATAATTCAGAAAATACTGCAAATACATTTTTCTTTCCTCAGAATAATATTTTGGATTTATATAATCAGGCAAATTATGTACAAGCATATACAGTTGAAGTCAGAATTATTACCCCCCCTGAATTATTAGCGCCCCTGTTTATTTTTTCCCCAATTTCAGTTTAACGGAGGGAAGATTGTTTCAACACATTTCTAAGCATAATAGTTTTAAAAACTTATTTATATTAACTGATTTATTTTACCTTTGCCATGATGACAGTAAATAACATTTTACTTGATATTTTTATAGACATTTCTATACAGCTTTAAGTGACTTAAAGACTTAAAAAGTGATTTAAAGGCTTCACTAGGTTAATAAGAACTATGAACTAGGCATGTTAGGGTAATTAGGCAAGCTATTGTATAACGATGGTTTGTTCTGAAGATTATCGAAAAAAAATTAGCTTAAAGGGGCTAATAATTTTGTCCCAAAAATAAGTTTTAAAAAATTAAAAACTGCTTTTATTCTAGCCGAAATAAAACAAATAAAACTTTCTCCAGAAGAAAAAATATTATCAGACATACTGTGAAAATTTCCTTGCTCTGTTAAAAACCATTTGGGAAATATTTAAAAGAGAAAAAAATAAATAAATCAAAAGGGGGCTAAAAATTCTGACTTCAACTGTACTTCACTAAAAAGTTTCAGAATGCAGAAATGTATATTTTTTTAAAGTTGAATGTATATAAGTGAGAAAACAAGGATCTAAAATATGCATGTAATTTAAATCTACAAACACAAATTGATAAAGTGCCACAAAGTGATGTTTAAAATTGCATTTTGAAAGTTTAATACATTACCAGAAAAAAAAAATAAATAAAACTTTATGAAAAGCCAAAAAGCCCAAAATCTCAAATTTTACTGGTGCATGAAAAGTTTTTGCCTGCAGTGTCTTGTTTTAATACAGTCTCTAAAACAAATAACTTGCACAAAATGTCTTAAAATTCTTGAGAATGATTAAAAATAGGTTGGTGAGTGGATCTGGATATATTTTGTGCAAATACAGAGCCATTAATAATGAATGCAGTCCTTAAGTGCATTCATATTACATTCAATGGCCTTTTTTAAAGTTTTTGGTCATTCTTTAATAAAAGTCTTTCACACTGACAAACATAAACGTTGTTTTTTTCCAGTCTGCTGAACACGGAGGGCAGCGTGGGGGGATTCCTCTGCGGGTTCTTGAAGGAATTCTATATGCTTCTGAATAATTTGCAAGGGCTGAGGAAATCTGGCTAAGGAAAGTCTGTTTAATAATGGATGATTTTTGTGAGTAAATCACGCTCCATTACCTGAGAGCTATGGAGCAGAGTTTAAGCCATGTCGTTTTATATGCTCCAGACACAGCAAAATAAAATAAAATAAAAATGTTGACCTCGGGATCAAATTGAGAGCATTTACATGATAAAAATACACACACACACACACACACACACACACACACACACACACACACACACACACACACACACACACACACCACACACACACATATATATATATATATATATATATATATATATATATATATATATATATAAAAATATATATAAAAATATATATATAAAAATAATTTGGGAAATATTTAAAAAATATACTATATATATATATATATATATATATACAGTTGAAGTCAGTACTATTAGCCCCCCTTTGATTTTTTTTTCTTTTTTAAATATTTCCCAAATTATTTTTTACGGAGCAATGAAATTTTGTATGTCTGATAATATTTTTTCTTCTGGAGAAAGTGTTATTTGTTTTATTTCAGCGAGAATAAAATCAGTTTTGATTTTTTTAAAAGCCATTTTAAGGACAAAATTATTAGCCCCTTTAAGCTATGTATATTTTTGAGAGAACAAGCCATCATTATACAATAACTTGCCTAATTACCTTAACCTGCCTTGTTAAACTAATTAACCTAGTTTAGCCTTTAAGTTTCACTTTAAGTTGTATAGAAGTGTCTTGAAAAATATCTAGTCAATTATTGTTTACTGTCATCATGGCAAAGATAAAATAAATCCGTTATTAGAAACAAGGTAATAAAATTATTATGTTTAGAAATGTGTTGAAAAAAAGCTTCTCTCCGTTAAACAGAAATTGGGGAAAAAAATAAACCGGAGGCATCATGATTTAAGGGGGGTAATAATTCTGACTTCAACTATATATATATACAGTGTACAGCCATTTTCAGATCTCGCCAGAGATGTTCAATATAATTTAGGTCTGGGCTCTTGCTGGGCCACTTAAGGACATTCACAGAGTTGTTGTGAAGCCACTCCATTGATATTTTGGCGGTGTACTTTGGGTCATTGTCCAGCTGGAAGATGAACCTTCACCCTAATCTGAGGTCAAGAGCCCTCTGAAGCAGGTTTTCATTCAGGATGTCTCTGTATATTGCTGCATTCATCTTTCCCTCTATCCTGACTAGTCTTCCAGTTCCTGCTGCTGAAAAACATACCCGGAGCATGATGCTGCCACCACCATGCTTCATTGTAGGGATGGTATTAGCCTGGTGAAGAGTGGTGCATGGGTTTCTCCAAACATAACGCCTGGCATTCACTCCAAAGAGTACAATTTTAGTCTCATCAGACCAGAGAATTTTGTTTCTTATCATCTGAGTCGAGAGTCCTTCAGATGCCTTTTGGCAAATTTCTGGTGGAGAGTGGCTTCCGTCTGGCCACTCTACCATACAGGCCTCATTGGTGAATTGCTGCACAAATAATTGTCCTTCTTTAAGGTTCTCCTCTCTCCATGGAAGAATACTGGAGCTCAGACAGAGTGACCATCAGGCTATTGATCACCTCTATGACTAAGAAACCTCCCCCGATTACTCAGCTTAGATGGCCGGCCAGCTCTAGGAAGAGTCCTGGTGGTTCCAAACATCCTCCACTTACAGTTGATGGAGGCCCCTGTGCTCACTGGAGTTTTCAGAGCAGCATAAATGTTTCTGTAACTTTTCCCAGCCTTGTGCCTCGAGACAATCTTGTCTCTGAGATTAATAGACAATTCCTTTGTCTTCATGCTTGGTTTGTGCTTTGACATGCACTATCAACCCTGGGACCTTAAATAGATAGGTGTATGCCTTATCAAATCAACAAAATTTACCACAGGTAAACTCCAATTAAGGTGCTGAAACATCTCAAGAATGATCAGTGGAAACAGAATGTACCTGAGCTCAATTTAAAGCTTCACGGCAAAGGTTGTAAATACTTATGCACATGTGATTGTTTTTTTTTTTTTATCATTATGGGGTATTGTGTGTAGAATTTTGAGGAAATAAATGAATTAAATCTATTGTGGAATAAGGCTGTAACATAAAAAAGGTGAAAAAATGTGAAGCACTAAGAATACTTTCTAAATTCTCTGTGTGTGTATATATATATATATATATATATATATATATATATATATATATATATATATATATATATATATATATATATATATATATATTTATATACACACACACACACACACATACATACACACATTATAAATGCTGCTCAATACTTTTCTTTCACATTTCATGAATTGTCAAAATCCAACGTCTTGAGCTCATCCATGTGGAACTGTGTAAAATATAATATGCAGTGAAAGGACAGTGTGTGTTTCTTAAGACGCAGAAGGTCATTGTTTGTTCACATCAGTCCTCCAGAAGGCAATCTGACCCACTCAAGGGAATTGACGGGGGAGAAATACATTTCATTTTATTGCCCAGAGTCACTCAGCTGATAAAACCAAATCATGAAATTGATTTAAGAGCTCAGTGACCTTTAGATAAACTTATGTTCATGAGATGGTGCAAATCTATAACATACACACACAACATGGCAAAAAAAAGTAAAATCAGATCAATAAGTTTAGCTTGGTTACTGTAAGACATATGGATTAGAAAAAAAAAGGCTTACTTATTTTCTTGCATACAACTCCTGGCAACATAAAATGTATCATTCTTAATATTATATGTAGACACATCATTTTATTCTACTTTGAAATGTTATTAAAGTAAAAAAGTAAACTATCAATTTAATTTTTATTTAGAAAACACAATCACAATTTACAGAGAAGAAAACAAATGTTTTGTGAATAAAAACTTGATGGTAGTTCTGAGAAGAAAAGAACTAAATAAAGATCTAATCATTAAACTGTTATTACATTAAAACATAAAACATTTAGAATTTTTATTTAATTTTATTAACCGTTATGTTTTAGTTATATTTATAAATAAATATAGCTGTATTTTATTTATATTATTATAACTACATTTACTTTATAGTCAATTTATATTCCCATTTATGTTTATGATTTAATTAAAATATATGTACATTTTTTAGAAACAAAATTCTTATTATCATCAATTTCTGACAAAGCAAAGTCAAATAAACCAAACAAAGAAACACTATACTTAGAAAAACCATACAATCTCATTTGGATTGGACAGCGAGATACAGCACATTTCTGTGAAAATGATGCCATGTGTTATGCAAAACGTCTCGTTTCATGCATGTCTGTCAGGACCACAGTCATGGTTAATAACAATAAAACTCACCGCCCAGCGCTTGCTTCATCACAAAATCCATGATGCACTCAGATATCTGCTCCTCTTATAGCTATAGAGAATGTTGCATTTAGTCCAGCCGTGATCCTGAATGTACCGCTCCACCACAGTGTTGAGTCCTAAACAATCATTCACACCTATTGGGAAAAAATATAAATAAAACATGATCAGCATACAATGTAAATCACAAACACTGCCAATCATTAATGTCAATACAACCTCGTCCATCACACGTGTCAGTGTTTAAGCTGAAATTCAACAATGCAACTAGGATTCTGCACAGAAAAAAAACTGCAAATATCAGCAAACACATGCACATATGTTCATCGGAGCTTCCAGACGAACCTCACACAGCGGGTGATTCACAGTTGCTTCTGGAAACTCAAGAAAGTCCAAGTAATTACTGCTAACAGGAACACACTTCCAGCAACACTGACATTAATACTAGCAAAGAGTCTTATTGCAGAATCTTTCTCTGAAGGCATGCAATTTCATTAAAAAACACACAGACATGTTTTTCAAGAGGAGATGTTTTTAATTTTTTTACTTGGCCACAACAACAAAAAAAATCTTTCAGCTTTTCAAATAAATATTAGTTTCTTTGAGACCTTGGATGCTCAAAACCTCTGAAGATTCAGAGAAACAATAAACCTGAACACTAAACGCACGATTGACAAACAAATCTAAAAACACATGACAACAGAAGAGCGTTTATCAGAAACTACTCTGGCATTATGAGGGAAAAACAACAGTACCTTTTTTGTATTTGTTTAAATAATTCTGCTTCCACTTACCAGAACACCATGTGTAGAAATGTGTCCTTGATGAACAATTTCCTAACTGAACGACATGCTGGAAAAGCTGACAAAAGATTCGCCGTGTCCTGATAAAACACCTCCATCTCTCTTTCTCTCTTCATTCATACTCCCCCACTCTCCTCCCCCTCATCTTTATTTTGTTCAATTTTAATGAACGGATTACCCCAATTACCGTATGCTGAAACTACTGTTTCAACTAAACAAAACAATTAAAATAAAAAAACATGGCCGTTGTGGTGGCGCAGTGGGTAAAATGAACGCCTCACAGCAAGAAGGTTGCTGATTCGAGCCTCAGCTAGGTCAGTTGGCATTTCTGTGTGGAGCTTGCATGTACTCCCAGTGTCCGCATGGGTTTCCTCCGGGTGCTCTGGTTTCCCCCTCAGTCTAAAGACATGAGCTATAGGTGAATTGGTAAGCTAAATTGTCTGTAGTGTACAGAATATGTTTAAATGAGAGTTTATGGATGTTTCCCAGAGATGGGTTGCAGCTGGATTGGCATCCGCTGTGTAAAACATATGCTGGAAAGTTGGCAGTTCATTTCGCTGTGGCGACCCCCAGATTAATAAAGGAACTAAGTTGAAAAGAAAATTAATAAATGAATGAATGAATGAAGTTGGCAGTCCATTCTGCTTCGGCGAGCGCAGATTAATAAAGGGACTAAGCCGAAAAGAAAATGAATGAATGAATGAATTAAATAAACATGCTGTTGAACCTGAAAACCATTTATGAGATCCTACACAAAGAACACACATGCCGTACATACATATACAATCTATTCTTGAGAAAATCTCATTTATGTTAGTTTAGCTGGAATAATAAAAGTTTTAATGCCAATATTAATAGCCTTTTTACATCTTATTATTATTATTATTTTTTACAATTAGCTAAAATACAATCCACTGTTGTCTGATGATTGCCCAATTAAGCTTATATACAACCCCTAATTAACATAGTTAAAGCTTAAAATGCACAAGATGAAAACTAGAATGTTGAAAATGAACTACTAAAATTTTATGTAGTGTTATGGCAAATGCAAAAGAAATTAGATTTTAGGTATTAGTTATTAAAAAACTACTATGTTTTAAATGTGTCAAATAATTATCTCAGTTACAAATCACTAGGGATTTTTTTTTAAAAATTACAATTCCAGGGGAAGGCTAATTTTGACTTCAACCATTTATACAAATGTAATTATTTAGGAACTGAATGAATATGGAGAACAAAACATGATGATATGGTATAATTGATTCTTTATCTTGTTTCATAATACACTATGCTACACTACACTAATTACTCATAACTCTTCTCTTTATAAAACGACCTTATTTTAGGCAGAAAATTTTTTAGGATAAATTAAATTTGCTCAAATGAAAAATACAAAATAAAAATCAAGACATTTGGACCCATCCTTATGCAGTGGCTGATCTATCTCTCTAGAGTCAAAATGAGGCTGTGAAACCCGCCTCCATGACTGATTAGCATAACACACAGTGTCCTTCAGTGACCTTGAGGTTGGCTTTGTGTGCCATTTACCCTGTCAGTTCATTCCAACTCCAGTACAACCACTTCTATTATAGTACACCGACACGGCAGTTTACTCCCAGTACTGATGTAGAGAACACTTGCCAGTGTTTTAAACACAAATGCTTCTATTAAACTGTCTTCCAAGCATGTTTTCTATTTGTGTGATAAATTGTGAGACTGAGAAAAGAAGCATTTGCTATAAATGATTTGCATTATCAGACATTGCATGGCATCTAATTATAAATCTTTTTCTGTCATCTCATATAAAACCTTATTCTCACCAGCTCAACATCCTGGTGAATGTAAATTATATGATAATCTGACATCCAAATAAGGAGATTTGCAAAAAAAAAAACAAAAAAAAAAACAAGACAAGACAGCAAAAGGATATATGTCATGGGAAACCTCACAAGTCACCATAATTTCAAGCTGAAGTGACGTTCTGATTGACTGGTGAATCTAATCCAACTCTTTGAGCTTCCAGAATGATATAATGGGATTAAAAATGAAGCCTCAAGGTTGTAGTTTTTGCCAACTGAAAGCACAAGCTAAAACTAAAAGATGAGGTTTTCATTATGAAACTCCTTTAGAGCTTCTTAAAGCACACGACAGCACAGGATAGATGTATAGTTCAATATTGAATATAAAGAAGAGGAGGAGGAGACCATAGACTTTCTAAAGCTATTATTGGATCCTTACGTAAGCTCTGCTTCAATAAAATCACTGTGGGGCATTTGATTTCCTAAACAGAAAATCACTGATGTATGGCACCAAACAATGTTGTGATAATACAACAATTAATTTGCTAACAGCACTAAATGCTGTGATAGATTTTAAAATCAGAGAAGTCTCTGGAAAACAACATAGCTGCTTAAAGCATGGATGGAGCTGGCTGAGACTTTGCCCAACCAGGCATGAAATTATTACTCCTCCTATTAAAGACTTCAGCATTTGCACAATTATGCAACATAATAGTGCATGAATAGAAACAAGGTTTTTGCACATGTACAAGAAGACTCTCTGAAGAAGTCCTTCCTGCAGCTTTAATAAGAAAAAAATATGCTTTTTATCCTATTCTGTTGTGCTTTCCTCATAAAGCAGCAATAATACGCCTAAAGCAAAAAAAAGAAAAAAAAAAAGAAAAGAAAGATAGATTGACTGGTCTCATGTGTCTTATGTGAAAACACTTCAGCTATATCACAGAAGGTTTGTGAGTTGGTTATTGTTTTATTTTTTGTTACTGGTGCCAATGTGATACTTTTAGGTTATGTCCACACTAGTATGTTTTTATTAAAAAAAACAGATATTTCTCTCTCAGTTTTGGCCTTCCATCCCCACTGAGGGTTTTTTTGTGACAACTTAAATATACTTTTAAAACCACTCTCCAATGTGGATTCATTTGTCTCAGTGTGGTCTTCAGGTTTTTGAAAACCACGTGACCAATTACGCTAAAATGGTGGACATTGTACAACAGCTGTTTTGGATGCTCATTGTTTTGACTGCAATGTTAAAAGATTAATGACTGAATGTTTACCCAGAGCTGTTGTTTTGGCCAGTGTAGTCTATTGAGGCATTCCAAATAATTGCCCAAATATTGCCCTCTGAAGAGCACTTTGGAGTGAAAACAAAAGTGACCGCCTTATTGAAGTGTCATTCCAAACCAAAGTGCTCAAAACTGGCCACTTTGAAGGTACCTTAGAAGAAAAGGATTTCATTATTTTCATATATTTAGACCTTTTTACATTTAAGAACTGAGAGTTTGGTGGTTGCTGTTGGAAGTGGTGTTAGTGAGGCCGCAGGGAAGCCCAACCTGTGGTCTGTGTGAGTCCTAATGCCCCAGTAAAGTAAAGGGGGCACTACTGTCAGTGAGCTCCGTCTTTCGGATGAGACGTTAAACCGAGCTTCTGACTCTTTGTGGTCATTAAAAACTTCCCGTAAAGAGTAGGGGTGTAACCCCGGTGTCATGGCCAATTTACCTTCATCAGCCCTTAACCATCAGGGCCTCCCAATCATCCCCTTCCACCAAATTGGCTCCATCACTGTCTGTCTCCACCTATAGCTGGTGTGCGGGGAGTGTACTGGTGCGGTTGTTGCGTGGCTGCCGTTGCATCATCCAAGTGGATGCTGCATAATGGTGGTGGTGTTGAGGCATTTTACTTTTTATAAATGGTTATGTGTTTAGGGAATTATATGCAGCATCCTTAACTTGTTCTCTTAGGTAAGGAGAGATCTTCACTTAATTATCATACTTGGAGGGAAAATGTGCTTTATGCATTATAAAACTTGAGATATCAGAATCGGTATTTTGTGTCGACCGATTACCATGACAAGGAATCAGCAATCAGTATCGGCTGCAAAAATCCTGATCGAAGTTTAAGCCTTTAAAATAATTTACAGTTTTTTTTCTTATTTATTTTTTATTTTAATGTGCAAAGGTTTACCAATTTCTATCCTAAAATGTGTAAAATGCAGGAAACCTCTATGATCATCTCCTTAAGATGATGCAAAAATGCGCTTCAAACTGAAGCTTTCTTGGACCCCTACACCTTTCATCCCTTCAAAGCTGTCACTCTAGAGGGTAAACCCTTGGAAGGGATAAGGGCATAGAAATGTGCTCTGCTGAATGTAACGCAGTGCCTATTCTCGTTCTTGTTTGCAACTAAAATACTCCTGCCTTTATTTCTGTAGAACTTTTTACAGTGTAGATTGTATCAAAATAAAGATGAAATGAATTGAATATTCTACTCCATTAACTCCACTTTACTGACATCCATTTAAAAAACAAAATAAAAAAAAAATAAAAAATCAGCGAATTTCCTTCACATGTTGCTGCAGTGTTTCAAAGAGCCAGAATGTAAATAAACACCAGAGCTCAAAGTATCTTACGTTTTAATACATGTACTGAACAAGAACAATAGAGATTTCCTTTGTTTCAGTGTGGCTGACCTTTGCAAAACAATTAAAAACAACAGTGTGGATGTGGGGTGTTGTTAGGTGAAAGCACTGTTTTCATTTTTATCCGGATTGGTGTATACAAGGCTTATAAAAGTAGCCGAGCCTAGGGTTGTGCGATTTGGGGAAAAATATTTAAATTACATTTTTTTTTACAGAAATTGCATTTTCGACTTGATATGCGATTTAAATTTTTAGTTAAGCTTCAGCTCAGTCACACTTGTATAGCCACCTGTGGTGGTTTCTTATAGGTGCTGGTTGTTGTATTTCCTCATGCTGACAACAATTCTGTGACAGCTCTTACAAATAACCTGTTTTTGTTCAGGATCTGTGACTTTGAAACCAAAATATTTTCATTTTACCGATGTGCTTTAAAAAAAAATGAATTCGTCTGTTAATGCTTTTGAAATTGAAGCAGCAGATGCCATCATCCCATTCATTGCACTTTCCTGATTGTTTGTTTTTTTCTTTATTTTTGTGGGAGTTCCACATAGTTCTGTTGCGCTATTCTGATTGGGCAGAACGAAAGTGTGCTCACTCAGTTGGCTAGTAAGAGTGTACCACACAG